AGCAGCACACACAGCCAACGGCGGCAAGAACATACACTTCACTTACACCCCACATCACGACACGTCTCCCGAACCACATGAAGCTCCTTCAATTTAACTGCAACGGGCTACAGAGCAAGATTGAGGAGATAACCGTCTTCATGTGTCGGCATGGTATATTAATAGCTGCGGTCCAAGAGACGAAGTTGCACAGCAATTCAACTTTGTTGAATTGCGCCGGGTACAACGTGCACCGTCGAGATCGCGAGCGAGATAATGGTGGTGGCTTAGCGTTCATCACGCACCACACCGTGCAGTATCGTCTTATCGAAGCAGACATCGACCGCAGGGATACCACCCTAGAATGTCAGGGCATCGCTATCCGGTCAGGCGATGTCGAGCTCGAAATATTTAACATATACATACCCCCTGTCACCTGCTGCCCGGCAGGATATCACCCTGATATAGGTGCGCTCCTCAGAGGTGAAAACCGTATGGTAGTAGGTGACTTTAATGCGCACCACGATCTTTGGCACTCAAGCCTGTCAAACGATCGTAGGGGAACAGACTTGGCTGAGCAGATAGACGATTCGACATTCTGCACAATGAACGACGACGCACCCACCAGGATTATGGGTAACTGCAGTAGCTCGCCAGACATCACAATAGTCAGCGCTGGTCTGATAAACAGCATAACGTGGCGACCTATGCTGACTCTAGCATCAGACCATCTACCCATAGTCATCTCGATTGATAAACCAACCGACTTTGCCTCCGCCAAACACCGGACCTATATCAACTTTTCCAAAGCTGATTGGAAAGGTTACGCGGAGTTTACCGAAAACACCTTCGCAGCGCTCCCCACACCAACCGACGTCCATCTCGGTGAACGTAAGTTCCGCAGGGCTATCACTGCTGCTGCAGCTCGCTTCATACCGGCAGGATGTATATCGGACCCACGTCCAAACTTCCCTGCCGAAGCGGCTGTTCTAGCCGATGAGCGTGATAGCCTTCGTCAGGCCGATCCCGGAGATCCCCGTATCAGGGATCTCAACGCGGAGATTCGGCAACTTGTAAACGTACATAAGCGGAAGAAGTGGGAGGAGCATCTGAAGACCTGCAACTTCACCTCTGGTGTGAGCAAGCTTTGGTCAACCGTGAGGTCACTGTCCAATCCGACGAAGCACGACGACAGAGTCGAAATTTCCTTCGGCGACCATGCTTCGTCGGACCCGGAGCGATGCGCGAGCTATTTTAGCCGGCAGTTCATACTGCATCCTCCGGTGGACAAAGCCAAGCGTCGAGTGACCAGAAGGCTGCACAAACTGCCAACAAATTGTGCCCCCCTTGCTTTCACTTGCGGTGAAGTTCAGGTGGCCATCGGGAAGGCGAAAGCCTCCAAAGCCATGGGTCCCGACGGAATATGCATGCTGATGCTGAAAAATTTGGGTCCTGCGGGGGTAGCGTACCTAACGGAGGTCCTCAACTTGTCAATGGCCACTCTCATCATCCCAGACATCTGGAAGGTGGGGAGAGTGGTCCCACTGCTCAAACCGGGGAAACCTGCCAACAAAGGAGATTCGTATCGTCCGATTACACTCCTTTCCCCGGTAGCGAAGACACTCGAGGCCTTGCTACTCCCGTACTTCACAAACCACCTGACCCCAGCGAAGCATCAGCATGGTTTCCGTAAAGTGCACAGTACAACAACAGCACTTAACGCCATAAACACTCAGATAACTCGTGGCCTTAACCGTAACCGTCCCTGTGAGAGAACGATTCTAGTAGCGTTGGACTTGTCAAAGGCGTTTGACACCGTCTGCCATTCCACGCTACTAGAAGATATAGAGGCCTCCTCTCTCCCACAGAGGCTCAAACGGTGGTCGGCAAATTATCTGAGTGGTCGACATTCGTCGGTAATGTTTAGAGACAAATCGAGTAAACAGAGAAAAATAAAACAGGGGGTTCCACAGGGTGGTGTCCTTTCCCCGCTACTGTTTAACTTTTATATTTCAAAGCTCCCTCAACCACCAGAGGGAGTCTCGATTGTCTCCTATGCCGACGATTGCTCGATCATGGCGACTGGGAATGGAATTGATGACCTGTGTTCGAAAGTAAACGGCTATCTCTCCGAACTTTCTCGCTTCTTCACTGCAAAGTGTCTAGCCCTCTCCCCTACGAAATCCTCCGCGACCCTGTTCACAACCTGGACGAAGGAGGTCAGGCTACCGCTGGGGATTCACGTCGATGACACACCAATTCCGACGGTGAATAACCCCAAAATACTCGGAGTAACATTCGACAGCCTGCTCTCCTTCTCTGCGCACTCAACCGCTATTGTCAATAAAGTACAGAGCCGCAACAAGGTCCTCAAGTCGCTAGCCGGCAGTACTTGGGGCAAAGACAAAGAAACGTTGCTGGCAACATACAAGGCAATAGGCCGGCCGGTTTTGAACTACGCAGCGCCAGTGTGGTCGCCAGGGACTAGTAGGACGCAGTGGACGAAGCTACAGACTGTACAAAACACCGCACTCAGGACAGCGACGGGATGCCTCTTGATGTCGCCTGAACACCACCTGCACGGCGAGGCGCAAATGCTCCCTGTAAAGGAGCATAATATAATGCTCTGCAAGCAGTTCCTGATCGGGAGCCACAGAAGTGGCCACCCAAGCTGACAGCTGCTTGCAGAGGAGCCCTCGCCTAGGCACGTCAGGAGGCATCTATATGAACTGACGGACGAAGTCCAGAGGTTCATTAAGCAACCTCTGGACCCGACAGCTTACAGACAGGCCCTGAACGGCATTCACAGGGACTCAGTCTCGAGTTATGTAGACTCTAGACCTGTGAATGCCGTTCTAGGCATACCACCCCCGGACATAGACGAGACGGAGCTTCATCTGCCTCGGGAGACACGCACAACACTCGCTCAACTTCGCTCCGGCTACTGCAGCAGGTTGAACTCCTACTTGAGTAGGTTGAATGAGGATGTGCCGAATGAGTGTCCGGCATGCGGAGAGACCCCACATGACTCGAAACATCTCTTCGCATGCCCGGAAAACCCGACAACCCTAACGGCCTTGTCCCTGTGGACAAACCCCACAGAAGCTGCACGCTTCCTGGGTTGCCGTTAGTGGAACTTGACGACAACGACTGAGATACCAACCGATCTGGGCGGGGTTGTTGTAGCCGCTACAACAACAACAACAACAACGCTCACAGCAAACTAATTTTGTTGGGCCAAAGTGCAGTAAAATTAGTGTTGCCGTACACAAACATTGTAGGTAATTATTGTTATACACAAAAATTGCAGTGATACCGAATGACAGAGAACTGAATTTATGCTGTAGAAGCTTCAAAGCTTAGGGCACAGTTAATAGCCTACACAATATCATAAAAAATATTAATTTGTGCACGATATGTACATCTGAAATTTTTCACCCCTATGCTGTTATCCGTCGTAGATTCGATTTTGCTACGAATCTTAAAATTGGTATGCTACAATCCGCGTTGCCGTATCGTAATTTCGAAATTCGGAGACCATCTTCGAAATTCGTAATGTTGGTATGCCTGAATCCGACGTAGCTGTAATTTGTATGTATTTGTCGGAAATTTTCTACGAAGAGCAACTGGTGGCAGAGCGAAGCGAATTCTTTTAAAATATCAATAAAATAAAGTGTATAAAAGAAAAAATATGTAAGTTAAAATGTGAATGGAAAAAATGGATTATCGTTAAATATTTACAAAATTATCAGGTCGAAGATCACAAACAATCGGCCGCAATACGAAAAAATGGTAGAATGCATGACCGAAAGGCCGGACATTGCTCGCGGCTTTGCAAAAGGAGCTAAAGAGGATATAAAGGAGTTTTGGGAAAGCGTCGCTCAGCAGATAAACAGCTTAGGCAAAAGATGTATCCAGCTGGAAAAATGTGCGGATAAAATTTTAAGAGCACAAAATTTTTTTATCATTGTTTTCCTTATATCAATACTATTTCTAGGTATGGCTCGATTATAAGTGCTACATTAAAAGAAAGCTCTCCGCCAATAAAGCAACGGCGAGGGCAACTGGTGGTGGACCCAACAGAATGCACAATTTCAATGAGTTGGAGGAAAAAGTGATAGAGTTGACGGGCTTGCACCCTTCCACATCGGGGATCAATGGACCTGTCTCTTTTGGTGTGGTAACAACACAGACGGTTACCCAACCGGTGTTGGAACCTGCGGCAGTCATTCATATGCCAACTGAGCCAGACAATGCCAATGTGCAGAGGCGTTCCCCTCCGGTAAAAAAAACGACACGGCCACTTTGGTACAGGAGCAAATAAATTTGCAACGAAGCTACTACCAAAAAAGTTTGGCCTTTTTGGAACGCCAGGCTGAGTCTGCAAACGAGCTGGCAGATAACGTGCGACGCATGTACCAAGTACAAGAAAACATGCATGACATGAAGAAGGAAAAATTGCGTGAATTAAAGAGGCAAATATTGAAATCGAGTCCCTTAAAAGAATGGAGCTTGATTTGCAGGAAAAATTACTGCGGATACAAGGAAGAAGCCAGAAAAAATGAAGTAATGGATACATTTTTTTGAGATTTCTTTATTTTTGAATTTAATTTAATTTTGCACTGAACTGCTGATTATTTAATTTTTTTTATTTAAAGATTATTGGATTTAAGTCTATTAGATTTAAGAATATAACTGAACTAAAGAAGTGAACTAACGTTTGTGATATCTGTATATATGTATAAACAATTAGATTTAAGAAAAGAACTGAACTAAAGAAATGAACTAACGCTTGTGATATATGTATAAACCTATTAGTTTAAGAAAAGAACTGAACTAAAGAAATGAACTAACGCTTGTGATATATGTATAAACCTATTAGATTTAAGAAAAGAACTGAACTTAAGAGATGAACTAACGCTTGTGATAACTGTATTTATGTACAAACTATTAGATTTAAGAAAACACCTGTTTTTTTTGTATATTTAGTTTTAATTTTAGTTTGAATTTATTTTAAATTTTTTATATCAAATAAATATGAAGTACAAAGTTATGGGATTGTTTTCATTAGTTAGGTAATGATCTCAAAATTCGCATTCTTATGTCTGACGCTTCTCTGGAAAATTCTGATGGCGCTTCTTCTTCATTTACATCTTGATATTCATCATCCATAATACCAGGTGTATTATCTTCTACGTCGTAGTGGATGCACATGTTATTCAATGCGCATACCACATTAATTATTTGTACCACTTTTTGGGGCGAATAATGTAGTTGGCGAGCACTTAGCAGGCATCGAAATCTATTTTTCAAAACGCCGATGACTCTCTCGACTATGTTGCGCGCTTACATTCCACACATGTGAGTCGTGGCTACTGCCTGGAAACCGAGCATCAACACACCTTATTTGCATCTTGTTATCGCAAATCTATTTAATAAATTTACGATAAATTGCACGTACAAAATCAGTTTGCTCTTGTGGTTTTACTTACCACCATTGCATTTAGGCTGTAGTATCCCTTACGATTGTAGTACAAATACGGTTCGCCTGCAGGAGGAAGTATTTTAATGTGCGTGTCGTCCACACACATAATAACGCCAGGGAATTGGGTTCTCCTGTAAAACCACATTTTGGCTCGTTTATTCTCCTCCTCCGTCATTGACAATTTAATCCATACTGGGCACAGTCGGCGTTCCAAGATCTTTAAAGTTTTTGTCAATGTTTTTGAGAACGTTGATTGCGCCAACCCCACATCAAAATCTTTCCCAACACCGTGTTGGTAGCTTCCTTCAGCGAAAAACCTCAAAACTGCCATCAATCTACTTACAGGAGTCACCGATGATGATTTTACACTTTGCCCAAGCTCTTCCTCCATAATTGTTAAAACGCTTTTAAATGCGTCTTTGTTGAGGCGGACATTTTTTACAAATCTTTAAACATTTAAACGATTAATTTATATGTGTATCAGTGAAATCAATTATAAAACTTACATTTTATCATTTAAGCTAAATGGACCAGAACTGTCTCGTAGCAATCTCCTTTGTATATTAATGCAGCAGTTGACTGCAGCATGTTCTTACTCCTGAGACAAGTGCACCGGCCACTGAATCCATTCTATTTTACCTAATTAAGGAAAAGCTTTTTCAAATACGATTAAACAATTTTTTTTTTAATAGTTACGATCGGATTACAGCATACCAATTTTCGAATTTTCGGAACGGAGCTACGAAATCGTAACTACGAACTTTCGGATTACAGCATAGGGGTGTTTATTTCGTGTTGGCAATAGCTATGAAAACCACAATCAGCGTGCAATCCTGTGCCAAACTCGACATAACCATCTCAGAGCAAACTACGCAGCCGCCATTTAATTTGCCAAACAAAAGTTTGTCTTGCTACCACTGACCATAGTATATTTTTTATGAAGAATTTATTGTTGTTAAATTATTATGGTAGTATATGCAGAATATTTGCAAATGACAGCAAGGACTGTGTTGGCACACCTAAAAACCAAGCGACGAAAGTAAGACAAAAAAAAATACGATTAAAAGGAAAATACGATAAGGTTCTTTTGTTCAGACTTAAATAAATAGTAGGGGTTTGGGGTCATATTCCCCCAGAAAATACAAAAACACATTTTTAAGGCTTGTATGTATATTTTATTGCGTCAATTAGATTGACAAAAGAGTCCTCATGCTTACGAGCAATTGTGCTACGTAGAATTCTCCTTTCTGTGTTGCCAAAGAAGAGGGGCTGAACACCTTTTGCAGAGAACGCCTTTATATGTAGGCGGCCTTCGGCCGCACTTCGGGTTTAAAACCCTTACTACGCAGAATTCTCCTTTCTGTGTTGCCGAAAAAGGCGAATATGACAGTCCTGCTGTCATTCGCAAATATTCTGCATGTATTCTCACAATAATTTAACAATTAATTTATTTATTTTTTAGTTGAAATTGGCTCCTCGACGACGAGCATACTCGTGGAAATGGAAACGAGTTCTTTTCTCATATGTGAATAATATAACTAGATATATCTGTGGCTAGATATTATTCACATATGAGAAAAGAACTCGTTTCCATTTCATATATGTATTTATGTACACACATTTATTTATGTAGCATTATCTTTTCTTGTTTTAAAACTTTTAATTTTATATTTAATGAACCGACTTCATTTTTATGTGAAAAATTAATCAGATATTTGCTTTCACAAAACTCGACAGGTCAACACGACCATACTCGCCGAGGAGCCATTTTGAACTAGAAAGGTGTTCTCTGGCAAAGGTGTTCAGCCCCTATTCTTCGCAAAACTAAAAAAGAATTATACTTTGTGAGGGTTATAATCCCTAAGCGCGGCCTAAGGCCGCCTACGCAGAAAGATGTTCTCTGCAAAAGATGTTCAGCCCCTTTTCTTCGCAAACCAGAAAACGGAGAATTCTACTTAGTGAGGGTTATAATCCCTAAGTGCGGATTCGCCTGCAGGGTTTTTTTTAAACAATAATTCGATAAATAATGCGGTGCTTTTTTCAAAAAATTCTAAACATCGATAAATAAGATAATTTTTTACAAAAAATCACACACTGGCTCTTACTCGCTGAAAAGTGTTCCCAGTGACTTGCGTACGGGAACGACTTCCAGTAATTTCATACTATTTCTTACTATGTCCTAGTGTACTGGAACAAACCAATTGATTGATACCCCTCTTGAATTGTTCCGTCAATTTTTGAGCTGATTCCGCTAAAGGGGATAAGTTTTCCAAATCGGATCAGGCTTTGAAAAAAAAAATATTAGGGAGTATAGAGGAGCTTTTTCAGATTCTAAATCTGAAGACCATACCCTCCGGAGGCTTAAAGTTTTTAAGTAATTCGCATTTAAAGTTGCAAAAAATACCGAATTCAACCTCACTTTTTCCTTTGTACACCAATTGAACTAAAATATCGGTGCTGCCATACACACCAAAAAATGCCAAAAAAAAACACAAAACGGAAGCAATAAAAAAATGCACATAATGTTTTATTAAAACCCCACGATTTTTTATTAAAAATTTTCATAATTTATCGAAGTATGGTTTTATAATAAAAAGCGCCACCGGGCAAAATTTTGGGGAAACTTTCCTTCCGATCGTTGTGTGCGTGGTGGGCGGAGGGGGACGGGGCGTGGCACCTCCAACCGACCTTTTTGGAGAGGGCATGAACCGCCGTTGATAAAAATGCAACCCCCGACCACCTAGACCCCCTATAGTTCCCTAGGGACCCCTTAGAAAAATGTCCAAAAATGACAATTTTCACTTGCGTCCACAGTATTTTTGCGTAGAATTCCTTTCTGCGTAGGCAGCCCTTGGCCGAGCTTTAGAATTATAACCCTTACCAAATAGAATTCTCCTTTTGGTGTGCACATCTGAGGCTACCGCCCCAGTGATTTAGCCTTGGGAAAGGATGAGGTAACTAGAATTGCCTTTCTACATGGTAAACCTGGGGCTGCCGCCCCAGTGATATCTATTATGGTTACTGGGTGTTTTATAAAAATGTCTTGTATATAACCATCATTTAATTATCTAACCTCTGCAAGGCTATTCTTTGTCAATGTTATTCGTATCTGGAATTCTATCCCTACCTCCGTTCGGAGTGGATTAAATAAAAGCAACTTTAAGAACACCATCTATACGTACTCTCGCTGAACCAAATATTTATTTATTTTCTGTGAGTCTGGGTTTCGCTATCTAAATGTTTAACTTTCTCTTGTCATCTGTGTTGATCTTTGCTACATATGTATAATGTGATATATATTTTATTTTATTTTTGTTTTAAGTAATCTGTATGTATTTTGTTTTACTGGTATTTTTAACCTCTGTTTTGTACTATAAAAGATCTATGATCTTATTGTACTAATGCCTTTTCTCTTAATAAATGAAATGAAATGAAATATAAAAATCTGTATATAAAAATGTCTTGTGCAAATGAGTATTTAACATTTTTCAAGCGAAAAAACGCAAACGCATTATTCTCGATTTTATAGTAAAAAGCCCAGCAGGCGGAAATTTGTAATGCGATTTTTTATTATAAATTTTCGAAATATATGGAGCTATATTAAAAAATTAAAGAATCAATAAAAACGAAAATAATACGGTTTATAGATGTATCTTATAGCGTCGAGAAGTATGGCAGCACACATGCCCTCTTACTGTCGGCCATTGGGCGCGTTCATAAGTCGTAGCTGTTGGCAAACCGTTGGCTGTTTGTCTTAGAAACCCACAGTTGAGTAGTTAAGCTCAGCCCAACAGTTGGCAACTTTACGCAATTTTTTCCAGCGGAAAATTTTTACGCTACCTGAACTCAACGTGTTGGACTTAGCCTAAACAGCTGATCGAAAAGACTTACGCCGCTTATATTAAATTTAACGCCGCTTTGTTAGGTGGCAGTTGCGAACAAATTTATTATATTTTATATTACTGACGTGATAAAGTAACTAAAATATTTTATAATAATACTACGTTTCTACGTATTTGTTGCAATTTCATTTGTTTACATTTATCAGCTGTTCATTTGGCAGCATATTCATCAAGCCGTTTCTAAGACGTAATTGTTGGGTTCAACAGTTGCTAGCAGTTTCGTAGCAGATGAGCTAAACAGCTACGTCTTATGAACGCGACCATTGTTATCTCTGTTTGTTTGTGAAAAGTGCTAAAACGCGTGAACAAATTTATAAACACGTTTTACTTAATTAATTGATGAATATATACAGTATATTTTGCTTAGCTGCCCATCCTCCTTTGCACGAAAAACTTGTGCACTTAACCGAAAAAAGCGCTTAAGCGAATTTTCTTTACTAATTCAATGAGGAAGGTATCCGAATCCCTATGAAACCAAATAATGGAGGAGCACTTACCACGTAGAAATTACTGCAAGCGAAATTTTTACCGAATGGTATCTAATTATCTACATAACTACATTAATTGATAGCCATTTTCGTTGTTCTGCGAGATGAGCAAAATAAATAAAAGCTTTAAAATTAGGTAATTGTAGGGCCAGGTAAACCTAATACTTTCTTTGATAGTTAATAATAGTTGCACAATTTTTAAGGCAGGTATTGCCAATGTGCAGGTATGTTGAATGCACCTATCGGAGGAGTTTCCTTATAAATGTTAAAAATAATGCCGCTAGTGCGCATTTTAGGGTAGGTATCTTAAATGTGCACTTAAGCATAAAGGCAGCAAGGCAAAATATACTGTATATATATATTTCAAGTATAAAATACGCACGTGAACATTGAAAATATAGTGTATCACACAAAATATAAGTGAAAAGTGGTATTTTGGACAAAAATTTGGGGGTGGTAGTGAAGATTATTTTACAACAAATTTCTTAAATACTATTAGCAACTACTTTGTGAGAGTGATATATTCATGTAGAGTTTACATTCATGACAGTTTACTGTCAAAAATTTCTCATTCACATACAACTTGTATGGGACAACCCGAAATTGACCGGCGTGCGTAAAAAGCTAACTCAAATTCCAAGATTTGTGTTGCGTGACATTTCGATTTGACGTTTGTGCTTAATTGACATTGTGGCGCGGCTATGAATTAAAAGTTTGGAACAAATGCAGAATAGCTCCGATTCTCAAATAAAAAAATTAATATTGAGGTCGATAGAGATGATTGAGCTGAACGAAACGGTATATTTTTTTTGCGGAAACAACAACTACAGAAGTTATTAAGGGTCAAAGTTCTAATTAAACAATTCTTTAAATCAAAATTTTTTGAAAACGAATGCATGGATTTCAAAATTTTGATCTCATTTGATAGGAAATCTGATTCCCTTTAATATGATATAAATATAGTCCTCCTTAAGTAGAATTCTCCTTTCTGTGTTGTCGCAGAAGAGAAGCGGAATTCCTTCTGCGTACATTAATTCGATGTTTGTGAAAACTAAACAAGGCATATATAATGTATGTATATCAAATTAAAGGGAACTAAATTTCCTATCGGCTGAGATCAAAGCTTTAAAATCCATACATTTGTTTTTAAGAAATTTTGATTTAAAAAATTGTTTAAATTGAACTTTGACCCTTAATTACTTTTGTAATTGTTGTTTCTACAAGAAACGAAATATTCCGTATTTTATTTTATGTCTGTATTTTATGTCGAATAAAACTACTTTATTCCACTTTTCACCCGACGTTTCGCTAAAACTTTTTTAGCATCTGTTGCTTATTGAGGGAGTAACAAATCTTAGCACAGGGCGCGCCAAGTGACTAAATCCACAATAAAGAAAAGTCGATTGGATTTTGGATTTAATTCAAATATATACAATTGTTTATTCGCGAGATTTAAGCAATACAATACTACTTGAAGAAATTAATTCAATTTTGCCCAAGTGGCTTAATCAAAGAAGGTAATCCGATAAAACGAGTGCGATGCGGTCACGGCGGTAGTTGAATACGAAGTACTTAACTTTCTTAATTGCGGGCACAGGTCACCCCATGACACCGCTTACAACAAGGCAATCCAACTTTCCAAATTCCAAATTAATTCACAATAATATAAATGACAAAGTTGCCGGCCGCACGCATAATATGAAAAATGAGAAAAAACATATAAGGATTAGTCAAATTCTATTAAATTGGCGCTCATGTCCTCGACATGCCGGCCCGCCTGCACCGGTGCAACGTGCAGCAACTCCTGCAACTTCTCGAGCGTCACCCTGGCCCGGTCGAATAAGTCCCGAATGCGCCGTTGAACTTGGTTGCGGCCACCTGGTGCCCGACTTGCTGGTGATTTGACCACACGGCTGGCGAGTGTGGATGGTCCGCGGGGGACTTGTGTACGTGACTTGGCGCGGCAATGGCGTTCCGGTGGCGATGCCGTTGGACGATGCAGCATGGTGTGGTGTGCCATCCCACACCGGTGGCAGCTGTCAGCTGAGCTACATGCGCCTGTGGTATGCGAGGTGGCCAAACAATTAACACAATATTTGTGTATTCGCGCGGATTCATACCGCTCATCGGGCGTCATAGCGCGGAACGCGTGACAAAATCTAAGCGGGTGGTAGCGGCAGCACAAGCGGCATTGGTTGACTTCCATCTCACGTCTGTCCATCTGTGGAGAAACCGTCGAAAAAATGAATTAGTCACGTCATTTTTAGAGCGAACTGGGGGTGCATATATGGGAACTAGAGTGGGTGACAGCATGAAGGGCGGATAGAGAGATTCTACAGAGTGGGCAATAGACATAGCTTTGCAATATTGCGCGTGATGGTTCCGGCTTGGGTGTGAATATCCGCTACGCGAACATTTGCATCTTGACCTGGGTGAAGTTTCACAACGCGCCCGAGTCTCCACTCGTTAGGGGGTAGAAGGTCGTCCTTGACTACAACGAGGTCTCCTTCCTTAATGTTAGGTTCTTGTCGCTTCCACTTATGCCGTTTGTGGAGTTCTTTTAGATATTCATTTTTCCAGCGATTACTGAATTGCTGATGAATAACCTTCAATTTTTGCCATTTGTTCGTCAATGAGAGGGTTTCCGAGTGGGGTTCAGGCAAAGAGAGTAGTGGGGCACCACGTAAGAAATGTCCTGGCGTTAACGCCAACAGATCAGTGGGATCCTGAGACATTGGGGAGAGCGGCCTTGAATTCAACACCGCTTCAATTCGGATAAGGAGGGTGGTGAATTCTTCGAAGGTGAACTTGTGATTTCCTGCGACCTTCGTAAAATGAATTTTGAAGCTTTTTACAGCAGCTTCCCATAGCCCGCCCATGTGAGGAGCATCTGGTGGGATGAGCTGCCATGAGAATCCGTGGGTTGCGTATTTTTCAGCGATATCAGTAGCCGATTCTTTGAGAAATTGGGAGAATTCTCTTTGCAGCGTTCGCTGCGCACCTACGAAAGTTTTTCCGTTGTCGGACATGATTTTATTGGGGATTCCACGGCGGCCGATAAATCGGGTGAAAGCTGCTTTGAACGCTTCAGTGGTCAGACTTGAGCATAATTCTAAGTGTACTGCTTTCTTTGAGAAGCACACGAATACACACACATACGCCTTGCCTGAGGAGCTCGTCGGAGGGTAGATGTTTTCACAAGAAATGGTCCAGCAAAGTCAACACCTGTGGTATGAAAGGGGAGTGTATAGGTAGATCGTTCAGGGGGGAGCGCGGCCATTATCTGTGAACGCATCCTTTGTTTATAAATTGTGCATACCTTGCACTGAAAAATACATTTTTTTATCTTTTGCTTCAACTTGGGGATATAATATTCTTGCTGCACCATTCGAATCATTAGTTGTTTGTCAGCGTGGAGAAGAGTTGTATGGAGGAAGTCGAGCAGCAGAGCACAGAGCTTGGAATTTTCTGGAATTATGATCGGGTGACGTTCATTGTAACTGAGAGCTGCGTAAGCTAAACGTCCATTCACGCGCATAATTCCAGCTCGATCCACCATCGGATTCAGAGTCAGTACTGGGCTTTTTTTGCTAATAGATTTCCCTGCATTTAATGAGCTGATTTCGTTGATATAGTACTGGCTTTGGGTCTGACCGATAATGCGTAGTTTGGCTTGATTTATTTCCTCGTGCGTTAAGGGGAGAGAAGTGGGTATCGGCTATTTTCTCGCAGCGTTTATAAACCGATGCATAAACGCGATTACTCGCAATGCTCGAGCAAAGGAGGAAAAACGCTTAAGTATGTCCACCGATTCAATCGTGTGCAGGGATTCAATACGTCGTTGTTCTGGGGGTGACGGGTAATTGTTTGCTTTTTATTGAACTTTCTTTTCTTTTCAGGTGTTTATTTGCTTTTTAATGAATTTTCTTTTCTTTTCAGGTATTTATTTGCTTTTACTG